TCTAAGGTTAAGCTAAAATAAGAATGACTTAACTTACCGAAGATTTCATTCAAATGTTGTAGCATTCATCAATTTTGATTTTACATGTTGATTTCTTAAAAGATTAGTATTCATTTAAATTATTCTCTGGTTGATGATTAACATGATTGACTTCAAAAAATTATATTTTCAATAATAACCATGATGTCTCAACCTTTTGAGAATAGGCTTAAATACATGTATTCTTCGAAAAATTTATTACGCGAGTCAAGTGAGATAATGGAAAGTCATGTATTAACTAACGTTTACTGTGATTTAAGAAGATACACTGAATAGTACACATTTATTAAACACTTCTTGATTTTCTTTCATCAGTTTCAGTAATTGCAAAACTATTTGTATATCCATAGTTGGCTTCTTTTAAATCACATTGTCCTTTTATTATCTTTTTTGTTTTCGTAAGAAGATTAAAAAATAATAATAAGAGAGTAATATTCACATAACAAATCTTTGACATGAAATACTTGTCAATTTTTCTTATTATTTCATGTTGATTAAATTCCATAGTTTTTTTTAATTTTAAGACAACTGTGTACTCATATTACTTTTTCTAAAGTTGAGCTATTAAATCAATGTAAGTAAGAACACTTTACAGTCCTCGAATTCAACTAATTACATATTTAATAGAATATTTCATAACATGACTAGCTTTGTTTTTGTTTATTATTTGGTTTTTCGTAATTTTCTTAATTACTTCAAGTTGAGAAACATAAACAATAAAGGCAGATTGTAGAAAACAAAAATATACCCACATTACTCATTTGTTGACCCTGTTATAAAATAAGAATCTGCTATAAAATTAATAATATTGAATTGTGAGAAAAAGATTAATATTTTCAAATGTTCTGGTTCATTAGAATTCGCTTTACTTTAACGTATGATTTTCAATTATAGACTAGGTATTGATCTGAAACCTTCTATGCATATTAAGGCTTGATAAAAATACGTAAAGCAATTTCCTCTTCTTTCATCGGAAATAATTGAAATCGTACAATAATTAAATAGATTTCGTAAGAATAACGCCGAATAATTTATTTTTGATTATAATTGAAAAGTATTTGTTAAACTTTTGCCAAATATTTTGTCAGACCTTATTTGAAAGTTTACTAAATGATGTTTTTCTCTTATATCTCTAGTAGACGAATCTACTACAAATTATTCATTCATATTTTTTAGCCATAGCTTGACTCTATTTTGATAGAAAACTTTATCATCAGAACCATGTTTGGTAATATCAAAATTAATTCTGTATTTCCATTCTTACTTAAGGTATTTACAATAATTGATTGAGAAATATTTATCAATTATTTATCGATCTCAGCTATTTTTTTATTTAAATATAACTATTGGATATTATCAATATTGTTAAATAGTACACTATCCTTTATCAAACAAAAATATTACTTACCATGTCTATTTAATGTATCTTATTTTTGGTACAATGAGTTGTTGTTTGTCTATTCTACTTTTGTCTCGATGACAATGTCGCATAGTGTTCTATTGTACATGTAAATAACTGCCAGTTTAACAATAGAACTAAACTAGATATAAAAGATTGTGATGTTTAAACTGTAGGCTCATTTCTTCATCATTATTCACTTTATTTTTAAGGTTATAAAAATGTTTCTGATTATCATCAAAAACTTGTTTTTTTTTTGTTATAATGAACGAATTTGATACAAATAGAATTTTTTCATAGCATTAATTATGATGATTATTAATTTGAGTTTGGAAACAAAAGCCACTTTATATTGTACTTGTTCATGTGGAGATCCGACTGCAACAATACTTATACTTTGCAAGATCAAGCTCAATGAAATATCAATGATATTTGACAGTAGCTTGTTTTTCATAAAAATTTACTTTTATTTCGTTCAGTGTATGCTCAAGAAAGTTATTGGCATTGCTTACATTGGTATGACTCGTGTTATCTGTACATACTCTTATTTTTAAAACTTGAAAACTGATCTTTCCAATATTTTATATGATTACGTATTCTTTGTTGACTTGTCATAATCTTTATTCCTAAGCAACACCATCACTAGGTCAATATCTCTTTGAATGAACAGAATGTACATGTGAAGTTGAACACTCAAGACATAAATGTGACCATCAATAACATATACAAATATTTGGACAAATATTTTACTATGTTATTTTAATCATACTTTTAATGGATTTGTATTTTTATAACACTCGGACACTTAATATTTTCAATTAGTCAGTTGATCGTTTAACAATTGAACGATTTACTCTGTATGTAAGTGAAGTAATTAAATATCTGTGTTCAACTATATCATTCTATTTGTGATTAATGGCATTACAAATATTCCACAATGGATTATATTACATTCTATATTTCGTGGTAAATTATTTACTTATGTTCATTGTATAATATCAGCAATAATTGATATTTTTAGTAGAACTGTCATAGTACATTTATTTACACAAATAATGATGACATAACCAATTGTTATTAATAAAACAGTTTTAGTTCATGTAATTGATGCTGTTCAATTGAAACTTATGATATAACTCACTTTGTGGTAGATTTAATCTGAAATCTCTTAAATCTTATCACCATTGTATTATTTCAATCGTTTTCACTGTAGTTAATTAGAAACGAAACTGTTTTTTCTTTTTCAATTTATGACTTATTTTTCTGATTAAGAATTTCTTCTATTTAGAGTTATCATACTTTTTATTTTAATTTATTTATAAACATGTAGTCAGAATGAAAAAAAAAGAAAAGAAAAGTATTCTCAATTGTTATAAGTGTACTTATAAAAATATTTAACTAAAATATTTTTATTCAACATAAGTATCTTGCTTTACAATAACATTTAAAAATTTGCTGATAATAAATTAAAAATGAATTTTCTTTTCTTTGTTAATCTGTTTTCATTTAAGGTACAATTTTAAGTTCGACCAAAAATAACAAAAACTTTCAATTTTTTTTCTCACATCAAATTCAACATAGTGAAATTGTATTATGAAATTTTATTAATGTCTTATCTTTTTTCTTCTTGAAGTCATTTTTGACTTAGCTCTCGTAAGGATGTTCTACCTAGAACTGTAGATGTCAGCCATTGCCGATTCATTGTAATTATTATGGTTTCAAGAAAGAAAAAAAAAAAACAAGACAAAATAGTGAATAAAAGAAGATGTCCTCCTCACTACGGTTTATATCAACAATCATGGAGACAAAAAATTGATGTTGTAAAATTCGTTTAATGCAATAAATATGTCTTGGTCTTATTTAAAAACGCATTCACGAATATTAGTTTTTACTATAACATCAACTGTTGCTATTGGAGGATGTATATGGAGAGCTTTAAAGAGATATCCATCAACAATTATTACGGTTCCAACAGAAGAGAATCAATTTATAATTGATGAATGTCCATCATTTAAAGAATATCGTCCAACACCATGGATATTTAATGGTCATTTGATGACAGTACTTGGTGTTATTTTTCGTCCATTACCTAATTTATTATTTCAACGTATTCTTCTTCCAGTTGATGATACTGGTGGAACAATTGCTATTGATTGGCATACACAACCATATGAAGGACAACCAGTTTTATTAATTCTTCATGGTTTAACAGGTGGTTCTGATAATGAATATGTTCGTTGGATGGTTTTATCAGCTTATTCAAAACTTAACCTATGCTGTGTAGTGGTACATGCACGCGGATGTGGTCGATCACAATTAACATCACCAAGATCATTTTGTGCTGCTGAGACAAATGATTCACGTATATCAATTAAATATATTCGTTCAATTATTGGAAATCAAGCACCTTTATTTGCAGTTGGTTATTCTCTTGGTGCTGGTATATTAACAAAATATATTGGCGAAGAAAGTAATGCTTGTCCATTAGATGGTGCAGTTGTTTGTTGTGCTAGTTTTGATATGCATTTATCAACAGCTAATATGGAACAACTGTTACATACATATACATATAATCGTCGTTTAACAAATAATCTTATACGATATATACGACAACATGAGCATCATTTTCTCAAATCTCAATCATTACCAAATCTTAATATGAATCAAGCATATCAATCTAAAACAATACGTGATTTTGATAAACATGTTGTTGTACCACAATATGGTTTTCGTGATGTTGAACATTATTATACGGAAGCGTCATCTAATATATGGCTAAAATATATACGAATTCCGACACTTATATTAAGTGCTATTGATGATCCAATATGTCCGATAGATGGTTTACCTATTGATGATGTTTTACAAAATCCATATTTAATTGCAATTAAAACATTAGAAGGTGGTCATGTTAGTTATTTACAAGGTTGGTGGCCACGAACATATTCTTATGATAATACTGTTGTTGTGGATTATATTAAAGCAAGACTTAAACAAATGGATTATCAATGGGAACCAAGTAATCATGATCAAAAATTAATCAATATTCATCCTATGTCATAATAACAAATTTTTTTTAATTTTTAAGAATCTTATTTTATTTTTCATTCTATATTTATTAAATTGTATATTTTCTAGGAAATCAGCAATAATATACAAAAAAAGAAAAAGAAAGAAGGCTTTCCCATATGATATTATAATCATAAGTGGATAAAAGAAAAGATAACACGTATTATAGACGAATAGTAAAACACATAGTTAAAGAAATTAATTTCAACTTTATTTTTTGCTTTAAGCAAACATCTAGTCTCAATGAGATTCAAACATCCTGTTATTTGTATATATGATCTTACGGCAAACAATAAAATATATATACAACTAAGAAGTAAACAACAGCAACAATAACAACAGTAAATTTAATAAGAGTTTTGATTTTTTGCGATCGAACGAAAGAAAAAAAGGAGAAAAAACAAAGCGAAGCTAATTGAGCAAACAAAAAGCAAAGAAAAATGAAAAGTATGGGATGATTGGGTTTTCATATGTATATATTCCTCTATTTTTTTTAATAGCAACTATCTTCACTAGTTCTTGAAGTAAGTGATACTTGAGAATTTGTATGTTCTTTTCTAGCATTTTTTTCTTGTTCAGCTAGTCGTCTTATTTCTTTTTCATATAAATTTGAATTAGAACCATGTAAAAGGCCACGTTCTTCTTCTTCAGCACGTCTTTCTTGTCGTCGAATACTTTGTTCTATTGAGGAACCCGATGAGCGATGTGCTAACATATTACTACCACTGTTATTTATTGCTTTTGTATAACGTGATGTAATAGGTTTAAATTCGAAATCATGTAAATAATCATCTTTTTCTGCTTCATGATCTCGTTCATCTGGATTTGTAGCTGAATCTGTTGTTGTTATATATGATGGAGTTGATGGTTGTTGATTAACTGATATTTGTTGTGACGGTGATGAAATCAATGAACCACGCAATGTATCAATTGATGTATTATCAGTTATTGGGAGTAATGGTATTGAATTAGGTGGATTATTTTCAATAATTTTCTTTTCAAGAATTGAACCAATTGAGATTGTACTACTAATATTATCACTTGGAAATATTCCATTTGTAATTGTAGGATTATTATTTGTGAAAGAATTTATTTCACCATTTGGTTCAAGTAAAATAGTATTTTCATCTTTATTTTTATGTTGATCATCAAGAAAATCAGGGCTTTTTTCTAAACGTTTTCTATCTAAACGTATTTGTCGTCGAGTTTTCCAACCTTTTCTTCTTGTACATTTTAAAATAAAAATAAGAAATAATATTGATATTAGACATAAGACTATTAAAAGAGATAAACCAATTAGAAAAATGTATTTATGTTGTAGAAGATAAGATAATGGAGCAAATAAATCATTGATAGGAATTGATGATGAGTTTAGTAATAATGTACTGTTTGTTGTTACAATTGTTGTTGTTAGAGGTAGATAATCTAGTGTAGTTACGGTACTTGTTCGATTCCTTTTTCGATTTCGACGTTGATAAATACGTCGAGTTGACGTATTTGTTGACGAAAAATCAATATTACTCATCCTTTATGCTTCATCTAAAATCAAAAAGTAAATTTTAATGTTTGATAAAAAAAAAGTATGTATATGTATATATATGTGATAAACTCTCAACTATCATTAGTCAGCTTATCAATTTGTTTATCTATCAAGTTGCCTGTCTGACTGTTATATTGATTAGCTAGTCATACATATATCGCTTGGAGAAGAGAGTAATTATAGTATATGATGCATATAGAATGAAGTTAAAAAACCAACAAATAATATATATTACGTGCTTGTAAAGAATTCAAAGGGCAAGGAAACTTGAGAATACATTTCATCGAGTACTTCTATTTTCTCATTCTCTTAGGTTCCACTGCACAATATGAATATAATAGAGATAGACAATGACGATCATATTTCAGCATCACCATCTTGATCATTGATAGTTCTTTTTTCTTTGTTTGCATACTATAAAAAGAAATAATAAATACACAAAAAGATTGTATGGATTGAAACAACGAAATTGTTTTAAAAAAAAATAACCCAAACTTTAGTCATCATCATTATTTCCATTTCGTTTTATTTACACTTTTCTTTTCAAATAATCTAATCGATTTTTTTCTTTTCATTATCATCAAATGGTAATATTAAATTACTTTTATAATCACTGACATCATTTCGTCTTAAACGTCATTGAAGAATTGTTATTGAAAATTCATCATAATTTTCCAAATCACTAAAATCAAATAATTTTATCTTTAACAAAATTATGAATTAATAATGTAATTTGTTGGCAAAATTTTAATACTTGAATGTTTCCATTATAAATTGTGCATGATTAACATTTACTTTAAAAAAATTTGTTTTGGAATGTTTTCGTTCTAAAATGTTTATCAATAATTTCATAAACATATTATTGAATTACAATAAAAATGACAAACAATACATTCACTTTTCTTTTTGTTATAATAAAATAATTTTTTCTCACTTGGAACATCTTCATTTTCACAATGACCTTGAATAAATTAACAAAAAATAGATTTAAAAATCAAAAGAAAAAAAAATTAATTACTATTAACAAACCATTCTTGGCATTTTTTCAACAGTGTTCAAACTTTCAAAAACATAAATTTCCCTCATAAAATATCAGAAATTACTCTTACAGAAATAGCATACCAATTGAAAAGCTCGAAAATTACTGTAGTTATCATTAAAGCAATCGAAATGAACCCTTCCAAAAACCCTTCACTTTCCAGGAAATTTCTATAAGTTTTTGGTTTTTGTTTTCGATGGATTATGATGCTACGATAAAAATATCCATAGAGTGAGAAATTTACTTTTTCGAAAATTTGCGCATAAGTAACATTTTTTATGGTCTTGTTGCGTTGATTGAAATCTTTGAGCATGCATTTTATCAATATCATTTTTAATTAATTGTTTTAAACGATTGAATTCAACAGTCACGTAATTAAGCTTACAATTTCGATAGATTTTGTTTGTAAAAATAATAATCATTTGTCTTTCAACATCTTACGTTATTTTCATCAATTTTTTGGAATACGTGTTTCATAATAATATTAATTGAAGTCTGATATATTACATTCGTTTATTTTAGAAATACATGGCATGATAAAAAAGACGAAAGAAAAACAAACATGTTGATGAATAATAAGACACAATGAATCAAATAGACGTTCGTTACATTATGAACTGTCATTGGATTAGTCCAACCATTTTCAGAGCTTTTTGTTTAAATATCACAGTTGACTGGCACTATCAACTAGTGTCATCTATAGATGCTGTAGTTAAAAAGAAATTAATTACCAGAATATATAAGGTTGCTCTCTTTAGTCTATATGCACTGCATAGCGTTCATTATTTATAATACATTCAATGTATTATTATAGTTTCTGATAGGTTTTTTCTGCTACATCAATCACAATTTTCTTTTTTTTTCCACAAATGATTGTGATCGAAGAGAATAGAGTTACTCTTTCGGAAGTGTATGAGAGTTGACATTCATTTCATCCGAAGTACATTAAACTTTCAGAAGTAATATAACTCAATGTCCTGGTGCGAAGCATGATCTTCAAAAAATTTAAAAATTATGCCTTGATGGCTTCCGACTTCCAATTCTAGGAGTCTTCCTAGCTAATATCCGGTGTCTAGAAATTTCTTATTGTAAATGAAAGAATGCTGAGACTTTCAGAAAGGTTATTAATTACTGAGATAGCATTTTGCTTAGAAAAAACTTTTTTCTCTTATGTTTCTTTTAGATCGAACAGTCCTATAGAAAACCCAACTTTTCTATTATCATTATTATGTGTATTAGAGTCGTCTTTAAGCGTTCTAGTCATCTATTGATTTTCACAGGTGTAAAGCTCCAGAGATGGTTACTGTAAGTCAATTTTGATTTTTAGCTGAACTTCTGAAATCTTTACTGAGAAAGCTAGCAGTTCAAGTGATAAGAATAGTAAATATTCATAATCTATTCATACAAATTTGTGAAAAAAAAGAAATGATATTTTAGCACACGACAAGCAGTTTTACAATTGATAATTTTTTTCAGAAGAAATGTCACCAAATTTTTTCCAAAATTTTCAAACATCCTGGTCATTTTTGTTGTAGCCTATGTCAAAGAAATTCTCAATGTTAACTTTTTCAAATACCACATTCCTTATTTTTCTCAATTGAGAGTTCAGAAGTTCAGCTAAAAATCAAAGTCGGCTCTTGAAATTCTCATATTCAGCAGCCAGTCTTGATCTCACATTTTTGAAAATTCAATAGTTGCATAGAACATTCAAATAGATTTCTAACACATATAATACTGATAACTAAATCCTGTTCATCATGGAAGAAGTTAGGTAAGTATCTGTTCCGAAAGTCTCAGTCTTCTCATTTAAAACAAGAAAGCCCTAGAGATCGGGTTTCATATGAATTGTCTAATTCGAATTCGAATATACATGAAACTTCAACTTCATAAAGTTACTTTAAAGATAAACAAAAAAAGCGCTGAGGGCTAGAGTTCAGCAGCTCCAAAAAAGAAATGGAACCGAAACCGAACCGGAACCGGTTTTTTACAATCTTTTGGAACCGAAATCAGATCTGCAACCATTGTTTGGGCTCGCTAGACTCATTTTTACATAACATATTTTGAACAAAATAGTTTTCCAATAAATATCTAGTTCTTATAATGTCAGGAATACAACAATCCAAATTTTTCAAAAATTTTTCTTATGCTTTTGGTAATTTAACGGTTCCAACCGGTTTCAGGTAACGTTTTGGAAACGGAACAGGACCCGCTTTTTTCTCGTTTTTGCTACTCGGAACCACCGAAATGTACTCTGGAGGTCAAGTATTTTGAAAGCAAAAGATAAAATTTTATCTCAATTATAATTCATCATATCAATGTGATAGTCATATAACCAGTGCAAAAAAAACAAAAACAAAAACATGAAACTTTATCTCAATTATAATTTATACTTCAAAAAAGCTGTCAAATAACTACGACAGAAACGTACACGATAGTATTTATCTGAATAATAATTTTTAATTCCGATGAGACTGCCATATGGCTACGACACAAAAGCAAAATATGAAGTTTTTATCTAAACTATAATTATAACTTGAATAGAGGCTGTTCCGTTAGAGTACTCGAAAAGCCAAAGATAATGTTTCTAACATACTTAAAATTTTTCTCCGACAATTTCTTTAGCCTATCGATTGATACTTGCAAGTCTCCATATAGCTTCTTTGTTCAAGAAAAGAGTGAGGCTCAATTTGTACTTTTGTAGAACCTCTTTTGGTCACGTAAACAACTCTACATGTTCGTATCGTACCGTGGGAGTGTGTAGCACCCCCGAAGAGCCGCGATCCATGTTCCTGTCAGCGTGCATAGTGGTACAAACGTTTCATTTGAGATCTTGAGAAACTTAGCGAAGTAGGATAGCTTGTATCCATACATGTAAATCTTGAAGATCTATTAAGAGTTTTACACTTCTTTTAGTTTTCAAATATTCATCACAAGCGCCTTTTGAGGAGATCCAGGCTGAATCTTGACACTACTCTAGTATATCTGAAGGGGATCCTGGAAAATCTGTACAGGATTTTTTGCCAATATCTACGTGGATGCTTCCTGAATCTTCAGAAAATCCTGTATGTTCCCTAGGAATTCAGGAAGCTGTCCAGGAAGTATTGGCGCACCTATTCAGAATGCTGCAGGCTGTCAATGAAATCTTTGACCATGTCTAGTGAACACTGCCCGCTGTTTAAGAAATCCTGGAATATGTTTACGGNTTTAATTAACAAAATTCGATACATGTGGGGCGGGAGGACTTGAAATTTATTTTTTCATCAAATTATTACACAAATATCCAAATGTTTGTTTTATATATCTCAATTCCAAAAAGAAAGTCGTTGGCAAATATTAGAAAAATGATCATTCATGAGGATTAAAGATGCCCATCTAATTTGTAAGAAGTGTAAAAGAACAAGTACAACGATACACAAAGTGTTTCATCTAATCCTCAGCATTTTTAGAAATAACTATGGAATAATGCCACTTTAATGATAACGTTAAGAAGATATATACTATACTAAAAGAGTATTTCTCATTTGTCTTAAGGTCATCGGCCATCAAAAAAAAAGTAAAATTTCGTCAGAAAAATCGAAATAGAAGATAGCTCGGTGTCTGATCTTTTATAAAAGAGATGATTTTCTCATGTGGCATCTCGTTTCTTTGCCAAAATCTTCTATAATTTCCATCACGTTCTTCTTGAGAAATATTCTATTTAAAAAGATGGCAAATCTTTTTTCATCGTGTAACTCAGAATTCTCTGTGGGTGTTCATTCTAAATACTTATTGTTTATTTTTGAAAGAGCATGTTAATATGTAGGACACAACAAAGTCCTTTCTTCTCAATTAAGAAAACTAAGAAATTAAAAAGAAGAGCTCTATCAAACAAAATGAAAATTAACCATATAGAATGAAGATCTACAGAGAATTTTGGTTTGCCAAATGGACTATTTGGTTCCTTGTTTGTTGAATATTTCTCGAAAACATCATCATAGAGGTCTGAAAATTGTACCATAGTCTCTTCACTCCAGTACAGTCCAAACATATCCTGAAAGTTTCATGCGATTTGAATGTGCCTCACCGAAAATCGATTTTTGATGGGGAGAGGGGGGTACAGTTACCTTCTTTTTTTTATATAAATATACATGAATAATTGTTTTTTGTTTAAATAGAGAGCAAAATTAGATCAATTAAAACAAGAGCATGACATTCAAAGTAAAATAGTACTATGTGCAAAAAAACTATTACATGATCAAGCAAAAGGAAATTCAAATTTATTAGATTCCGTTTTAAAACAACGTTTTGAATTTTATACTTGTGTGAAAGAAAAAGTAAATTGTGTTTTTCTTCCTTTCAAATTCAATTCTTATTTATTATCTATATTATTTTTCTTTTTTTAGCTTGATCGATTAACAAAATTAATCGATACTATACAAAAAGAAATTAATTCTCGTTATCCTTATGCTGAAACTAGTCCAAGTAAATCATAACAATTATTTTTATTTTTAATATAAAATAAATATATTTCTTAGTTAAATCATCAACAGCGACGAGTGGTAGTCCGCCCCCAAATTCATATGTCCAAAGATATCAACAACGGAAAAAGAGTCCTTCACCAACCGTAAATTAACATTGAAATTTTTTATCAAGAAACTTTTTTTTTAAATATTTTAGCAACAATTAAATCGTACATCATCATACAAACGAGCATTAGTACATAATCAACGTTCTACTCCATCAGGAGTTACAGATGGCCATTCATCTGAATTTGATAATCAAGTTTTATTATCACCAACATTAGATAGAAGGTATAGTCAATTTTATTATTGCAATCTATAACAAACGATTCTTAAAACAGAAAAAAAAAAAGAAAAGAAAACTGAATGATCTATTTCTGCTGACGAAAAGACTGTCATGGTTGAGTAACTGCATTGTTCGATATACATTAGCAAGCTACTGTGTTCAAACCTCAGTACTATCAGGCATAGAATGACTCTGGACAAGTCACTAACAATTGTTTATCTCAGATCATCCGTCAGATAGCATGCTGACTACGTTGTGACATACATCTGCTCTTGTAGTTAGTTAATGTATATAGGGAGTCCAAGCAATTGAGCGTAAGAGCTCCACATCAAGTTGGTCTTCTATCTAGAGCTACTTGTAGTATTAGTTGTAAAGGAGATATGGAGTTGACGAATCTGTCGCTAGACAACACTCCATACTACAAGGAAGCTGAAAGCAGATACTCTTCTTCCTGTTCACGAATATTTGTAATCGCTAAATCAAGTCTTTTCTTTTTTTTCTTTTTAGTCAATCATCTGATCGCCTTGTTAGTAATTTACCTCTTGATTCATCAAATAATCGTCAACAACAACAACAACAACAACAGCAACAACAACAACAACAACATACAGCATATATTCTTCAACCCCCTCCAGCAAGCTCTTCAAATAATGCTTCTCGTAATCGAATTCGTGATCGTAAACAACAACCAAGTTCACGTCAAGGACAAAAAACGACAGCAACAAGTAATTCGATGCCTGATGAACAATCTCAACAACAATCAGCACATATGCGTAGTCTTGATAGACGTCATGTACGTGCTGTACCACATAATTCATCAATTAATTCAACAATGTCAAAAACTCATATGAAATCAAGTCATACTGATATATATGGTAGTCTTGAACGTAATAAACATAGTAAAGTATCACAACCAGCATTACATGGTACAATAATAAACGATGAAAATGATCGTATTAATAAAAATGATAATCAAGCACATGATTTTTATCATTTAACACCAACATTACCAACACAAACAAATACAACATCAACTGTTGTTAATGTTGGTAATATACTTCAACAACAACAACAACAACAAGCATTTGATCATATTGATTCAATACCACCTCCATTACCAGTAACATCATCATCAAATCGTTCTCGTCGTCCACCACCATCTGTCTTTCAACCACATTTTGATTCATCATTATCATCATCAACAACAATATCAACCCCGAAAGATAGTTATTATACAATATCAGGCTCGAAAGATGTATCGACGCATCCACATCCACATATTCATGGTCTTGTTGCTGAGAATTTCTATAATGGAACATATCCCAATAAACCACCACCAGCACCACCTCAACAACAACAATCAATGCAAAGATATGATACATCACCATTACTTGTACGACGTTTAGACCATACATATCCATCTCAAGCAAGATATCAGTCTCAATCATATAATCGTACACAATCAAGTTCAGTGGTACCAACATCACAAGTATCAACAGGTCGTTTAAATGCGACTAATCAAAACCAATCATCAGCATTACTTTTTCGTCCGCATAGTTCACAATCATCGAGTTCACAATCATCAGGGTAAGAAATTTACTTTTCAATATTATTATTTTGTTTTATCTAAACTATTTAATTTGTTCTTTTTTTTTCTAGACCGAATTCTGGAAGTTTACATGTTGCTGAAGAATTTTCTGATGATGTACTTGGTTGGCTTAATAATAATCATGGAAATTCTGCCACTCTTGTGTGATGATTTCTTTCTTTTTTTTTCTTTTTGTCTCTTATTCCGTTATCTATCCACATGTGCCATTGGAGAAATGTGCATGTTTATTTTTGCCCTTACATTACAGTCAGTTTGCAATAAATAAAAAAAAGGAAACTTTGAAACAAAAAATGGGCTTCTTTATAAATATATATATTTTTCTCTTTATATGTTCTCAATTATTATCTTTTGTTCATTCATCATCAAGCCGTTTTTTGTACATTTGATCAAACATTGGTTTTTCTTTCTCTTCTGTATACATGCATAAATTTTTTTTCTCTACTTTTTTGTCTTCTTGATGTCCTTGGATCATGCTACATAGATGATTATGTATGTGTCCACTGCTTCTGACGTTCTACATGTGTATCTTCTTTCATTCTTTTTTTTTTATACGGATTGATGGAATCATTAAAAATATATATATTTAGTCAGAGAGAAAAGTTACCTCTTGACTTAAAAAAGAAATTAATAGATTTAAAAATCAATTTAGTCCAGGTGTCAATTTTTAATCGTAGGTATATGAAACATATAAAAGGGAGTGATGATTTAGTGACAAAATTGCAGTCTCACAATGAAATCGACTTTTGGAATATTGATTGTATGCATTAATGCAGGTGAGTAATTATTACTTTTAAATAGAAAACATTTCATAGCAAGATAAGGATGAATTATTATGTAATATGTCTTTTTCATTGAAAAGCATGTGGATTTCTGTTTGGAAGTGGCTCTGGACCTGAATGGAACACTTTAAGTACTACTTGGGGTCCAAATCCACTTAGTCATGATTACTATGTTAAACAACCGTTAACGGTTGAAGAAGCAAAGAACGATGGATTCGAACAGTTTTCATATGCATGCCAAGGTAAGTTTATTTATTTATTCTAATGCATTGTTATTGAATCGTAAAAATATTTATAGGAAAATTTATTGGACAACGCTTTGTAAAAAATAAAGATGTTGGTTTAATTTTAATTTATGATAGCAAAGGTTTTATTGCTGGTATACAAATGGGTGTAAGTTACTGAAATTTTCATTTGATATATTTAAGAAAATTTTTTTGTTTCTCATATAAAAAAGATTCCAGCTTCAATGATTAATGATACATATTACAAATTTTCTCAACAGAAAATGTTTAATCGAGATACAGTTCTGGGTATTGATGTTTACATTCTAACAGCATATTTTATTGATCCCAAGACAATATGTACATCAGATGGAAATACAATTCATCGTGAAAGAAATGACATAGGAACAGCACTTTGGTTACAAAATGGTACCGATCCAATTGGTGATTCATCTCTTATACCGATACATCAAGCTGAAGCAGACAAAACACAATGGGTTAAAGGTGCATGTTTTCCATCGATGGGTAAAGTATTTATATCATGAAAAAAAAATTTAATATCAAAATTATTTAGGTGTTCATTATTGGTATGACAATCGACTTGATTCAGATTGTGAAAGATACTTTCCTAGTTTTCTTATGTATAACAAAGGTAAATTAACAGGATTTGGTTGGGCTATACTTGGTAAATATGATTTTACAAAACGAACTGAATTTCCTCCATTACCAGCTATTAGCGTAAGTTTAAAGAAACGTTTTTTTCTTCGATTAAATACACATATCATTTAAATTTTCAGTCATTTTTAAAACCTGTTCCAACATGTATGCCCGATAAATATCATCAAGTTGGTGGTTTTACAACAATGCATATTTACTTCAATACAGCACCATGGAATTTAATCTGTTGATTTCTTTTTTTCTAGTGTGATTATGTATTCTTTTGAATATTTTGAAGTATAACAAAAAATAAATAAAGGGATCAAGTATAAAAATAAAAGTAACAAATACGTGTATATTTGTCAGAGAAGGATGAAATACGAGTTATGTAAAACGAAATTGGATCCAACACATGAGTCAATACAAATGCTTTTCTTTCAACTCGATTAACTTTAGAAAAAATATTGGCACAATTGTTTTTTTTTCTTCTTTTTATACGAAGACAGGTTTTCGTCTATCTATTATCTTGAATATTCTCTTGAGCATCGATCAATTAAGAATACATTGTTAATGCCGTTCTCATTGGATAAAATATAAACATATGGATTAATTCTATCGAAGAATATGCTTATTTCTCTTTCACTCTCTCTCTCCCAGTAAAATAACATATTGTCTCATATTGGAATTAGCTGCTTTATAACAATTAACAATCAAACATATTTTCTTTTCTCAGAATATTTGTATTCAATGACTTACGGTTACTTGAATAATTATGTTATTGATTAACGAGAATAACGATACATCTTCTTTTTCTATCCATAGAAACATATTACAATAAGTCAAATGTAATTGATTCATTCTATGGCATGTTAAATAAATAGAGAGAGAAGAAAAACAGTAAAGAAAGTTGATTTTTATTTTCTAGAGAAAAACAATGAAAGTTGTCGAGCACACAACAACAACACTCAATGTCAGACAAGACACGGCGTCCTACAGAGCATATAAACTGAAATGAACTACAGAATGGACTGATAACTCAATGAAAAATTCTGGTTGTTGTTTATGTTCAGTATTCATACCTTGTTTACATCCTTGTAAAAGAGTATGATCCATGTGAAAAACGAGTATAAGCTCATTGAAAGCCGGTTAAACTTCTACTACTTTTATTTCATTGCAATCTGATTTCAAACTTGTGTTTTCGTTTTTTGTAATTTTCAAATTTTTCTCAAAATCTCCTTTATTGCTTGAGATTCATCGAGAAATTTTAATTAATTAAAACTGACAAGTCTTTTTAGTTGATTAGAAAGAGATTTTAAAAAACCTTGACAATAACAAGAAATTTAATTATCAACTAAAAATCAGATTGTAATCGAGTGAAAATAGTATCATTTTAATTCATTGTTTTCTATCCAATATCTCATCAGCTTTCTGTATGCCGATGTAGATCTTTTCTTTAAACACCTCACATCCATACCTAAGCACTCTTTCACAAAAAAACTATCTTAATAAATTGGCTGTTTTTCAGCGTGCATGACTTTTTTCTATCTATGAAAATACGAGGTTATTTGGTTGAAGCCAAAATTGATACTTGAAAAAGAGCTCTCTTTAACTTTGACTTATTAGATATGAACTGTAAACATGTCTTTACTATTGGTAAAAAATCAGTCCGTTATCTCGAGCTGAAATAGTTATCTTTAATTTGTTTTGCGTAGAATGGCCTATGGGTCACCCAGTGTATAAACGACAGAAAAAATGCTCAGAAAAATAAATTCTTGCATATCTGAGGCGATTAGTCAGAATAAATGTGTGATTTTATTTTTGAACGAGAAAAGATTTAATGTGTTTCGTGAAAAATTTCAAGGCTTATAATAGAAATGTTTCTAGAATTATAATAATACCAAGAATGTATCTCTCAATTTCGTGTGATTTCAGTATAAACCTCCATAAGATCAGCTGAATCTTTTAATTCTTTAAATGTACCATCTATTGTTCGACTTATTTCCTCTAAAACATCCATTTCTATATTACCATGTGCAACTGTCTAAAACTGGTTGATTTTTGTTTTCATGGTCATCAACGTGTCCAATCACCTATTAGGAATGCATTCTTGTTCATCACTCATAACAATAATGATATATTCAGAATCTCCAGAAAGCTTAGCTGTCAAGATTTGAGATTGTACACTTTGCATTGTTTTAATCAACAAATCAAATGCTCTGCCAAAATCTATGTTACCAGATGTACATTGTATATTTCATATATGGATTGTTTTTATATCAAAATTAAAGTAAGCATTTTTGGCACTGTCACTCAATGTGATAATTTTTGTACGATCTTCTCCACCAGAATCAACATGGATTTAATAATGATGAATTCAGGCATCAAACATATTTTTTTTTCTTTTTAGAACAGCAGTAACAATGACCTAGAATTCTAGGTCAGTCGATACGGCTATCCGTATTGTCACCGTAACTTCACTGAATACGGCCGTTTAGGGTCAGAAAGAGCACGTAAACGGCAGTATTTACCCATAATATTGGGCGCAGTAATATGGAGCCGTATACGAGGCCGTATTTTCACTATATTCGGCCGCATACGGTCCGTTTATGCGTCGTAAAGTAACCGTAAACGATCGTATACGAACCGTGTCGTACGACCTGGGATAAGTTATGAATTGAAGATAAATGAAGAAATTCAACAAATTTAAGAAAATGAAGAGTGTGAGTGTGTAAATGAATTCGATTGAGTTCAAGGAAGGAAAAACAGCAATCAACAACTGCAGCCACAGCCACACCATTCTTTGAATTCCCCAATTACCATGAATGTCTGAAAAGTCTAAGTCATTGAGTCATAGATATGTCTTAAATTTATTGATTCTAATTTATTCTTCTTGAATTAGAAATCTCTCTTCCGTTGATATATATCGATAAATCGATGTTGTCTAAAAAAAATGAACAATTGCTTGAACAAATAAATATCAACTTTTTTTTTCTTCATCACATTTGTTTCTTTATAGAAAACAAAGAAAAATTATTATTTTATTTTAACAGAGTCGAGGTTTCTTCGCACGTATAGAAGGTTAGGATGATTTTCAGGTAGTGAAAGTGCAAATATTTTAAGAGCTCGTTCAAAAAATGGAAGTACATTCGAACCAGGGTTGTCAGATTCAAAAGTTGTAAATCGGAATTTTTTTCATACTATTTTGGCAAAAAAATTCGGAAGTCATTCTTTTGACGTTTAAATGTACATATCGCCGTTTTTTTAAATATGATTCTTCTATCATCATTTTGTGTCAAAGCTGTCACTTATATAGTTGTTTTCTCTTCTATAATCTCATATGTATTAACATTCGAAGTCAGAAATTCATCATTCATAACAAAATCTAATTTAGTTTAACATGTGAGAATTATCATATGAAAAAGCGCGCCTTCTGAAACTTAGAATTTAGTTCATGTTGAAGAAATAGTTTATTCAAATGGCTTTTTTCACGATACAAGTTGTCTCGTTCAGTTCGGAAAGACTTTCCATTCATGAGAGCGTGTACTTTTAGTAGTCTCAAAATTCTATGCTATTTAATCTTTATAATAGAACAATGGTGCATCAAATGCCGGCAAAAGTTAAATTAAAACTTATAATAAAACTCATAAAAGCTCGAACCTAAAAGAATATTACGGCGTGGCCACGCTGATGGAATTTCATTTTTTCAGATTGCAACCTGTATAACTGCTTAGTAATACAAGCAAACTGTCTGAAATTATTATCATAAATACAGCTCACTTAGATCTATTATCAGTAAAAATTTCACAAATTTCTCTTCAACCGCAGCAGAGTTATTCAAAAAATAGTGACCGTTACGGAATTTCTAAAA